GTGTGTGTGTGTGTGTGCATCTATACGGATTTTTCATCTCGACACCCAAAAAAGCTGCAAAGCTGGAACTTTGGCAACTTAATCCACATGCATGTGCGGGCTCCTATCTGCAAAGTGGACGCTCTTGCCCATGTGGTTCCCATGTACAAGCCCGTGAAAGTTTTTCGCTGGTAAGTTGCTAACTCGGGAACCTGAAAAGTTAGAAAACTGGAATTTTAAAGGGATGTTTCCTGACAGTCCTGGTGGCAAGTCTTAATTCTTTTAGCCAGAAGCATCTGCCAAAAAAAACAGTGCCGTTAGCGGCAAAAATCTGCGGCGGACTGTGCAAAAAACGCATCTTCGCACCTGTAGTCGGTACGCTGGCCAATTATTGGTTCTTTATGTTTTAAACTCGCTTCCTTACATCATGCGTTGCAGCTACTGCGGCATCTCCTTCATTTCTTGGAGGGCGCTTTCGTCAGAGTTCTAGTTTATGAAAATATACCGTAACTGTGTGGGACAGCTTTTCAGGCTCGATTGTGGCAGTATGGTACTCGCGATCGTGTGGCTGTTCAGCCGGATGTTCTCTATCAGAATACAGCAGTCCCTCCGACACCAATTGTGGACAAAGCAGTTGACTGTGTTTTGAATAAATTCGTGCGAGCAGCGATGAATAAAGTGAAATGCCCGATTTATAGCATATGTGTAAGTTCATTCTTTGATACGGATGGATTTTGCAAAAAAAAAACCTGAAAACTAATGGGGTTGGACCTCTTCTTCCCGGTTATCACAAAATGGTAGTAGCTGGACGTGGTGCTGCGTGTGGCCGTAGTGGTTATTTACTTAGGATTGTCCGAGCAATGCTCTCAGCATATACCAACGGCATATCAAATATTGCACTGTCTTCCGAGGCCTAGGTTGACAAAAATGAACTTGCGTGATTCTCGAATGGTCTCCAGTAAGATTTTGTGCCGGTGCGTAATGAAAATGGTAGGATTGACGCAGCTACCTCATGTTTCACAGAAAAAGTTGCTACTTTCTCAGCATTGGTGCATCCATGGGTATTCCGCTCCCCCCCGCCCCCTCCTCGTCTCAGCGGCACGAGTAACAGTTGTTTTACTGTAGAAAACTCACTTCGACACCGCCTTCCCTCCCCCGCTTCTCCCTCGGTACCGCAGTTTTGGATCGGCCAGCGAGGGGAAAATGCTTCAGATTTAATGCCGGGAGGAGGGGGGTGGGAGCGGGAAGGGAAATCGTCCAAAACCCTCCCATCTCCCGCAGAAAGCCGGGTGGAAATTTCCTTAAGATTTTAGAAACATTTTTTGCAAATGCTTATAAAAAATGCAGTGTCTCTTGATCATATATGTGTATTTCAGTGGACACCAGAAGGGAAGCGGTTAATAACGGGTGCATCAACCGGTGAATTTACGCTCTGGAATGGCACAGCATTCAATTTTGAGACAATCCTCCAGGTACTTGTGGCTGCTTTCACATCATCGTCGTTATCAGCATCGTCATCGTTATCATCGTCTTCAATTCCTCTCTTTTCCGCGTTTGTTCCGTTTTGCTCATTTCTTGCCTGATTACCGATTAATGTTCTTTTTTTCTTTCTGTGGTGTTTTTACTGTCGCCGAAGAGGTTTGTGTTCGATGAGGCGTTTAATAAAAATAAACGCAACGGCTGAAGAACGTGTGGGGGTGTACTTGTGGTGTGTTCATAACGAATAAAGCAATGGCAGGGATGAATGAATGGGCATTTACCGTCACGATATTGCTTTTTTGGCTGCTTTGTACAGATTATAAAGCAGACGATAAAATGGTTCTGCAAGAGGTTTGTTGAGCACTTCGCATCGTCTCCAGAAACGTCCTTCAGCTAGCCCTTCGATGCCGTTTTCCTTTCACGGGAAACGACAAAAAAATGTAAAATTTCAGTCGTTTGCGGCGGAAAAAAAAATGTAAATTTGAGTTGTCCTGAACATAAACGCAGCCTTTCAGAAAAGTACTCAAGAGGCCATCAGTATCCATTCCAGGTCGAATGTTTTGCAGTTTGCCTGCAGTTCAGATTCATTCCCGACTTTTGTAGAAGCTGAAATGTCTGTATAATTGAAACAAGATTCTAGGATTCAGCAGAACATGCACATCTGGTCTGCCTGAATCTCGCTGAGAGTTCATTCATCTTAGCAGCTGCTCATGTGATCATTGCACTTCGGCAGAGCTCTCGTTGTACTCAGTTGTGCATTTCATTCCTGTGACTTTAACTACGTATACAGATACAGTCGGCCTTTTCAGATATTACAGTCTGTGTCTAAAATCATTAGACAAAGACAGAAAAAACGCGTAATTTGTTTGTAGAAAGATACATCGACTGCTTTCTTGAACAGGCTTCCTCCGTTGCGTAGCATTTTTATGCGTTTTTGCTGTGCAGCGCTATAGCGCCGCTATAGCGCTGCTACAGCCAGCAAAAACGCATATTATCGAGAGGCTGTCTGTGTGTATTTGGAAAGCGAGTGCATTTTGCCACCCATTTTCATCTCGGCAACTAGGAAAGCTCTGAGACTGAAACTTTGGATATATGTTCCTACCCCTTTTTTCATCCTCCCGTTCTAATATCTTTCCCTTACGCGCCTAAACCCCGCGTACGGGGCCCCCAAAGAAATTTCTTGGCGGGAAATGATTTCGCGAACCAAGCAACGTAGAAGGCTGAAACTTTGCAGGGATATTCTCTATGCACGTGCGAAATGAATGTTTTAAACTCAGCCCTCTAGCTCCCCAACCACAGCCTCAAGCAGCTCCTGAACCCAAAAAATCGTTAGCAACTCGGACCTGAACCGCAATTCTATGTGCAAATGAACGTGCATTTTTAGCAACTCGGATCTGAACCGCAATTGTATATGCGAACGAACATGGATTTTTTGAAAAACTACCGTTCGATCAATACTTTTACTTTTTCAATGAACTGAAAATTTGCATATTTTCAAAAATTCGTTCGCAGCTCGGACCTTAACCGCAA